TGGGTGTAGTCAGTCACGTTTTCAATGCCTGCAACTGGTCACAGAAAAGGAGTTCCCCCACTGAGTTGCACATCATGATGAGGGGGAAAGTTTCTTTTTTCTTTTTTAATTTGCTTTAAATCTGCTTAAGTTTAAGCTTTGCTTGGTGTTGCCAGGTCTTACACTGGAGGAGATGGTGAGTGCCTACCCCACAGTGCTGTAGGGGAGACCAGAGGAGACCAGACCTCAGCTCAGTATAGCCAGGGTGGTCAGCTGAGAGTTGTCCCCCCTCCCTGCACAGGGCCACGGGCACCACCCAGAAGGGGTCACAGGTGATCCAAGGGGCACTTTCTGACTTGGTTTCAAATTGCTTAAAGGATATTATGTTTTGTTTCTAAGGAGAAGCGAGAGCATCTCAGTGCAAGATGGCTTGAGATGTTCAGTCTGCTTGTCAATATAATCACAAGTGACGTGGGCTGGAAATGAGTAAAACAACATTTCTGGGTTGTTCAGAATTTTTTTTCTATGTTTGTATCAATTTGGTGAAAGCAGAAGTGTTTAATGTGGGACCCTCACACCAGGTCTGTTCACCCCAGCCTAACCTGTCCCTTCTTGAAAGCTTTTACTGCCTGCAGTGGGAAAGCAAGTTTTCACTCTAAAATACTAGGAAAATAAAAAAAAAAAAAAAAAAAAAAAGGCCTCGCCTTTGTCCCTGACCCTGTGTGATTAGGTCTCCTGTAACGTTCAAGCAGTCCTGGGAACAGTCCCATCAGCTCCTGCTCCAACAGCCACAGCAATGTTTTTTTGTCTCTGTTGTGGCAGCTGAAGGGAAAAAACATTGATTGGATTCCACTGGCATGAAAAGATTAATCATTCGCCTGGATTTCCAACCAGACTCTTCCACACTGTGTAAAACCTTGGCATTAATATTTAAAATTCTTCTGGCTGCTCTCTGTTTTAATTAGCAAGTGGAAAACTGCCTGGCCTTTGCCAGGAAAAAAAAAATCCTTAAGATCAAAGTAGGCTCTAATTCACATTTCTGCTTGCCACATTCAAAGAAACGTGTTGGTAAAACAAGTGTCCTCTGATGAAGAAGGAAGGACATAATCCATCAGGGGCAAAAGCTGAGTGCTGTGTCCTGAGTGCTGTGGTCTCATTTTGGTGTGGTTAAAAGCAAGGGAGAGCACTGGGTGACTTTGCCAGTACATCCACAATGGCAATTTTAGGTTTCTTATGAGGGACAAATTATTGCCTCAAATCTTACTGTTAATGTATCATTTAGGATCTGCTATTAAATAATAAGAAAACCCATTAAACTGTGTAGCTCAAGGGAAAGTGTCAAATTCTTCTGTTGCATTCTCAGAGGTGGAGGGGAAAATGTATTTGTTTTGTAAAAGGAGGAGACTTGTGAGACAACCCCCAGTACACAATCTGAGTACCCTGCAAGTACCCACCAGTGCTGGATCCACCCAGGTGCAGCACAGGGACTGAGCTGGAGTGGGGGAAATAGCAGTTTCCTTAGGTAAGACTTCACTGCTAAGAAAAGCCAATCCAGAAATGACAATCCCTGTTGGGGGTAACCTGGATGAGGAAGAGGAGTTTAGAAGGTGGAAAGAAATGACTTCTGGCAACATAGGCCAGACAGCATCAGACAGACTGTTTGTTAGATTGTGAGCTTTCTCCCTTATGGGGGAGAGCAGGTTTCTCTGATTGGCCAAAGTCCAGTTAGAGGCAGTTAGTTTTCCCAATTAAGAACTTAGTAGTTATCTAAAGATGCATGTATTCCCCCTATTATGTATATCAATCTTAAATCCTATCCAATGCCCTGTCCAAGTTTATATATACCTACTCCCTTTTTCCAGAACCTTCCTTATCTGCCTATAAAACCCCTCCATTTTGTAAAATAAAGTTAGATCAGCCTTAGCATCCACAGCTGGTGTCTCTGTGTGATTTGATCCCTGAACTTGGCCGATACACCACCAGGCACAATGAGAGAAACTGCAGCTCAGCTGTGAACCCCTGCTGGTCTGAGGTGATCCAGAAACCCCAAACCGTAATAAATCCCCAGACTGGTATTTAGGCACAAATCTATAGCCACCAAAACAACTTTGCTGACCCCAACTGCATTTTGCTACATCCTGCCCTCTCCCTGGTCCTAAGCTTCTTCTGCATCACAGTGAGGATTCATAACTCTGATGCAGAATAACAGAATCACATAGGTTGATAAAGAACTCTAAAATCATTTGAGTCCAGCCATGGACAGCTTGGGCCCTGCCTCCACTCCATGTTAAATGGAGTTAAGGGAAAAATCCTAAACCAAGTAAAAGCTCAGTATAAGCATCACGATTTTCTTGGTGTCTTTTTGTGCCTTGTCAATGCACACACACCCAAGGACCACTTGCACAGAAATATTTCCTTCTGGCAGATTTGGAAATTGAAGCTTCACACAAGCTGTCAAAAAATTTTTAATTCAGTGAGCATAGGGCTGGGCTGAGACCACAGCAGACTCCTCTGCCTGGGATCTGGAAAAAACCCTTCCCCTGTCCTCAAAGAAACCACGACAGCACGGCGGTCTCAAAAGGGAAACTCTCCAAGTGGAATGATCCAAAAAGTTTTCTGAAAATTATTTTTGAGTCTTCCTGGCATTTCTCAGAAATGTCCCATCTGAACAGTATCAGTTAAAAGGGTCCCAGTTCTGCTATAAGAGGTGTGGGAAGCTACTAGAACAGTCTGTCCATATTATGGAAGGCACCTTCGTTCTCCTTGTGGTTAAGAAATGATGAGGAGCATGGACCCAGTTGACCACTCAACAGAAACCTGTATTTTCTGAGAGCAGCCTTGCCTGGAGCGATGTCACCTACAGAAGGCAGAGCTGCAATTGTCCTGGAGACCCAGCTGTGAGGCAATACAAGGACACTCACACTTCTACCTTTAGTAGTGAAATTGCTCTATCTACACCGAAACAGATCTGATGTTTTACTCATCTTCCTCATGAACTGAGACGGCATTACCTATAAAAACCTAAAAATGTGTAATTGTAGGCACTCATTGCTTTTATTGTTAGCTTTCTAAAAGATGAAAATTTCTATGTGCCTTCATGCACTCCCTGGTGGAAGTATCTACCACACAGGAACACAAAAAAATCTGCAGTAATCTCAGCCTTGTGCTAGATTTAAAGTGATTCTGAAAAAAAAAAAAAAACCCAAACCAACAAAATCCTCTTCTTTAGTGGAGGATTTTCCTCAGTGGCAGATGTCAACATCTTCACAATCACCTCCAGCAAGGACTGGGAACGAGCGATGAAGATCTGCAATGGAAGCAAACTCATACAGCCTGAAAAGCAGCTGAAAGAGGGCAGGCAAAGCATATGAATGATCATCCATCATCAAAGAATGATTGCAATCTTTGCTGTGGGATTTTCCACATGTATCTTAATCATGGCCAGAATGTCATGGATTGGGAAAGGAAAACTCTAGATCTGGACTGCTGAATTCCACAGCTTCTAATGCAGCTCTGCAAACCAAAACCCCACAGAGTGGCAGCAAAAGATGGGTACATGGTGGAGCATCCCTGCCTGCCTGCTCCCTCAGGCAGGACCAAGCACTGCCCTCGATGTCCAGTGAAGGAGCCATTCCAGAGGAGAAGCAAAAGGAGACACCCAAGGGCTGTCACTGCAGCTCATAAGACAAAAGAGAAGACAGGGGCAGCTAACACTGTTAGCTGGTGAGGGAGACATGAAGAACTAAGACGATCTGGGGCAAAAGGCTGCTGACAGGAGCGTGGTTACCAGACAGGTAAGAGAGAAAGAAAAAGGGAACTGGAGTCTGGTCTGTGGACCCAGCTCCGATGTTATGTTCACTTTATAATGGGCAGAACAAAATTACTTTTAATTGATACTTGGTGCAAGACAGCAGCTGAGCACTTTGCTGGCTGTTTTGTGCTCATGGCGATACAGTCACCCCAAGGAAGAGCTCTTCAGGCTGGAGAGGGTGCAAGATGGGGACTACAGCCACAGAGTGAGATGCACAGTAAGGGCACCAGTGGGGATGGAGAGGAACTCCAGAGGAGCCATACATGCAACCAACATCAAGGAAAGGTGAAAAATTTGCCTGCCACAGGCACGTTTGCTTCTAGGGACCACAGACGAGGCATCAGCCTTCTGAGATGCCTGCAGGGAGCCTAGCACTGTTGCCCTCAGCAGGCTCCCTAAGGACACACAAACCTCTGTCACAGAACTGCGACATTCCAACTTGACCCACTACTTCCCACCATTTCCTGAACAAGCCTCCCCTTGCATTTCCTCTTTGCAAAATCAACTTTTGCAAGAAGTTTGATGTGATCAAAGAGACACCCATCATATGACGGTGTGAAAAAGTAACCAGCTGTGCCACATTAGGTGGCAGAAAATGCTGCCATTTCAGTCTCATGCCGCCCAACCATCTGCGCCATGCAGCAGACAGAGCTGAAGGCTCTTCCCTGCGCCTCTTCCCTGCCAGCAGACCTGGCAGTGTGGTTTTCTGTGTTTAAAAAAGAAACATTAAATAACATTAACTCGTGGAAGTGCAGAGCTGAGATGGTCAGCTGAACTGCTTTGATGTTACCTTATTACTAACACTGCATTAGGTCTTTGCTGTGCAACAAATACCCACAATTTAAATGCTCAATCACATTCCTGGCCTTCCTTCACCACCAAGTATTACTTGAAGGGCTAATGGTTTTAAACTGAAGAAGGGTCAATTTAGATTAGATATAAGAAAGAAGATTTTTACAATGAGGATGGGGAGACACTGGACCAAGTTGCCCAGAGAGGCAGTCAATGCCCCATCCCTGGAAACATTCAAAGCCAGGTTGGATGGGACTTTCAGCAACCTGGTCTAGTGGAAGGTATCCCTGTTTAGTGCAGAGGAGTTGGACTAGACAACCTTTAAAAAGTCCCTTCCAATCCAAACTATTGTATGATCCTATGACTCTGTTTCACTTACAACTCCAGGGAGCTTATTGGTAACAACATGGACAAAAAGTCACTTTTTCAAGCAGCAACTGTTTTTTATTGGGATGAACATTAGGATTTTCTCTTACATATATTCGATTTGAATAAAAATAATTTAAAAAATTTTAATTTCTTTTTATATTACATGAGAATAACTCAAAACAAGGACTGTGAATTTTGGAAGCAAGAAACATAGACAAAACTCTTGTTTAGGTGCTGAGATGTAGTTCTTGGATTTTTTTTTCTCAAAAAAACCCTCAAACAGAGAAACAATCACAATTGTCATTCCAGTGAAGAAACTTAATCCATCTATAAAATATCTTTAAGTTTGAGAATGGTATATAGTTACACTAGAAAGTATTTATCATATAGGGTGTGAGTTTTAATATACCACCTAAAATATATAACTTCTCAGACTTTACAAGGTCAAATATTTTAGACCATATTCCAGTGGAAAAACACTACAAACCTATTACAATAATTTTAAAGTTCTTGTTGAATTAACTTTTATTTCCTTTTGAGGAATTTTAATATAATATTTCAAGCAATAAAATATTGCATACAAACTAGCTTGCCAAAAAACTTTATTCACACTAACCTGGACAACCACTGTTTTGAAGGATGAAGCACCTTTAGTAACAGTGATAAAGCATCACTGTTAGTGTAGCTGATGAAGAAGCAGATTTTGTGCACAAATTGGTACAATTTTCACAACAATTCTGTAAATCTGATAAAAATTACTGCATATTCTGTATTCAATTAACTGGAATTAAAATATGCTTACGTCTGGAGTAGGATTACAGTGTTACAAGACAAGGAGTCTATTAATTAGTCCAATTCTTGTCATTTGACAAAGACTTCCAATAAAATGCTAATTTCTTCTTCTTTTATTCTTAAAATACCTGCAACCTACTGCAACTTTAATTCTCGGGCTTATCTTGCCTCTTTTCAGTTGAGTGTGAATATAGTTCATCTTTTCATTAAGTTCAGGGTAATGAACATCACTCAGCATCACCTGAATGGATTCGAAATAAAAAAAGGCCCAAAGAGGGAAAAAAACCAAAGCAATTAGCATGTCAAGGTCTCACTTTAGAAGACAAATCTGCAGAAATACACACGATAAAAATGAGATGGACTTTGTGTAGGTAGTTATTTGCTTTGAGTACCATATCAAATTCAAAGTAACTGTGCCAGTTGTGGCTGTCTGATGGCCTGATGGAAAACCATTCTTCACCAAGTACAAGGAAAAAACACTATTAACACGATTGTCAGAACTGTTCTCTTGTAACAGTCTAACCTCAGGGGTCAGCTCTCTTCTAAAGAAATGCTTGAAACGCTGGCTGGCATTGCAGCCTGACAAACAACCTGATGCCATCTAAGGAGACAATGTCAAGCCCTTTTAAAAATAAACATTTCACTTCAGTATATTTAGGGGGAGGGGTGTGTTTGTTGTTTTGTTCTTGGCTTTTTTATTTTTGTAACTGTCTGCTGTTTCCAGCACCATCTCAGAGGCTGGAACGTTTCATTCCTTCCTCTGCCAGTTTGTCCTTTTCCACTTGGCAGATGCTGACCACCACACCCGTTGCTCCTCAGAGTGCAGCAGCCACCAGGACCGCCTTCTTGTTTTCCTTGTTTGTTATCTATATCATCAGTGGAATTTACAGCCCTGGAATGTGATTTCTGAATCAATATGCATTTTCTTTTCCTAAGGAATGCCTTATTTTTCAACCACAGCTGTGTAAAAATACTCTAATTTTAACTAATGAGTGGGTAGTGGCTTTTTTGAAACCAATCAGTGACGCAATTTAGAAAACCACGCAGGCATTTTCACCCATTTTTAAGACCAGGTAAAATTTCGGACCTAAACTATGCCAATTGTCTTACTTTCTAAATTAAGAATTACTTTTAGTTTTACCAAGAAATATTCTATTGGTATGAACTACAGAGTTTTTGAAACTGTAATGCATATTTATGTTTTACTTCTCTAAATATATTACTTGTTTGTTTAATTCAATCAGGATTCTACCATTCTGTGAACCAACTACAGTAATCCAAAAATATTTTCTGCTTATGGAAGGGGCTAAATCACTAAGCCACACCTTCCTGCAAAGCTTCAGTATTTTCGATTGGTAAAAAGCATTTCTCATTGAAATAATACTGAAGTGGAGCCCTAGCACTCCTCCATATGTACGACTGTCAAGTTAATTAACTTTTCAGGACAAATACTAATCACATTCAATGACAAGCCAGGCTGTTGTGTTCAAGACAGCTCCAGCGGTAGCTCTGGTGGCACAACTGTGTATCTTGGGTCAAGCTTAGGTGTGAAATCCTTGAAGTTCTTAGATGCTTCAGTGCCAAATACATCTAAAACTTTTCTGTTCATGAGAGCAAACCTGAAAAAGAAAAGACGAGAGCATGAATGCAAGATTAATTTACTTATGAAAAAATAAAATCATTGTTAAAATTATTTCATTTCATGAAAGGCTACCAAAATCTCTGAAACACAGGCTTCAGCCTGCACTGTTCAGAGACAGCAAGTTTTTCACATCAGGCAATGAAGATTAAAAAAAAAAACATTTGACAAATGTGACTGATACTGCTTTGTGTAGCTATACTTCATATAACCCAACTTGTGAAAAAGGGGAGAATCCCTTTCTGCTTTTAACTCCACATAAAAAAAGGTCAATCCAAAATACACTACTGTTCTCTCTCATTCCAGCAAAGCAAACTCTGGACTTACCTGTCCAAGTCTGGATGACAATTTTACGGGTGTTACAACATATTTCCATTTCGTTACTCTTCAAAACTATAGACTGAAAAACTTACAAAATGTCAAAAGAAATTGTCTCTATGGAGAGAGTGTCAAAATTACTATTACAGAGATTTGCTTCAGATAAAATAAATGGGCAGAACATAATTTCTTTTCCCTCCTCTCTTTCACCTACAGCAAGGTTAGGATTAAGACAAGACGGAAAAATGCAGCCAAAATTGGATATCTGCACTAACATCCCCTGTATCGTGTCTGTATGGCCTCAGAGGCTGCCTGCAGACTGCCTCCAGGCATCCCAAGGAAAACTTCCCAGTACATCTAGCAATCCATTCAGTCACCTCATGTGTGCACTGTGCCATGGGGAGTATAGGTTCAGCATAGTCCAGGGATTGGCCTCTGATTGCACTTCTATTTTTACAGTATGGTGAGTTTGCTGTCACAACAAATGCTACCTTTTACATTCCCATTCATAAACTGATCTACATCAAGATCTGGATGCCATTAAGATCAAGATGTTTCCACCACATACTGCACCAGTATAACAGTGTACACTTCACTAAATTATACTTTTATAAATCAGTTACAGCAAAATCTATTTTAAAAAGAAAGTTTTTTAGATCCCTGCAGCAAATAATAGACAAAATATCCAGTTAAGATATTAAAGTGTAAATTTATGATTATTATCAGTAAAAATTTTCATTTTTCCAGAGGAAAAAAAAAATCCCTTCCCAACTGAAACAGATGTCCTATAAAAAACTACTGAAACTTTCTAGTATTCTTAAGAGACATTCCAACATTTCCAGTAATGCTTTTAAACAGAGTAATTCCATGTTGTCAATCACTCTGCATACTGGGTGATTTCTTCAACATGTATAGTTGTTTACTGGATTCTTCGTATTCCACTGAAATCTGAAAGCATTCCACTCTCCAAGTGAATTAAAGATAAAAAAGACTTCAAGTAAAACACTCATCTGCTAAACAGTCTTCACAAGATTTAAGTCTTTGCTCCTGTCATTAGATTAAACCCAACAATGTTGCCTCAGCAGCAAAGAACTTCAAGTGTACTGGAAACCATTTGAAAAGCAAAGTAAATCCTCAGGAAATAAGCCCTTATGTACTTCTACGGCTCTGCTGTTGACAGTGAATGACACAGAAAGCTGAATGTGATCAATGACATGTTTAGACAAGCCATAACACACCCCTGATTACATACCTGCCCTTTGTTAGTCGTAAAAGAAATTTCCAGTATGAAGGTCTCAGGTTCTGAACTTCCATCACAGCCTGCAAGGAGAGGATTCTATCAGAGCCAGCTGACAGCATCAGGCAAGAGCTTCATCCTGCTACATTATGTTGCCAAAACTACCACAAGGATTGCTGTGGAAATAACTTTTACTGCTTTCTGCTGAATTCAATGCTCTATGTGACCTCACCAGCACAGACTGAGATACCCAGATGACTATAATTTACAAGGGGTGGCAATTTAATTACATCTCATTGCAGGGAAAGCAACAATGATCATCATTCCTATGTACATGATTTTGCACTTGTGGATGCAAAATTTACCTGCAACTTTATACCCCACCTACTCTGCATTTTGTGATCTACCATTTCTTGTAGTCATATTTATATTCAACGTTACATTATCTTAAATAATATCTTATAACCAAAATCCTTGTCTTCTCTCTATTCCATTATTTTTCCATGTCACTTATGAATACAGTGAATAACAAACACCTCAGTATAGATCCCTGAAAGATTACATACACATATAGTCATGGTGGTCCAGAAAACATACAGTGGGATGTTTGAGCAGAAATAGAATAGCAATTTGTGTACCACTGAAAAGTGGTTGCTTTTCCAGCTGATACAGAGGATAAAACGACTGATGATACAGGCATGGAACTGACTTGAGAAGTGCAAAAGATGTTAATTACATCTTGTTTCAAATGTAAAACTTCAGGCTTTTACTATTTTCTCTTTCTGATTTTTTTTCAACTAGGTAACTAATTCAATAACTTCAATTAGTTCAAGTCAGCTGAAAGTCAAAGTTTTCAGTTGATCTAAAAAACCATAAAGTACTCTATTGTATTGTTTGCCTTAAGAAACTGTCTTTTCACGTGTTTATGAAAGTCCATACTTGTATTTTCATCTTCTAGGTCAATGCATTTTAAAATCCTTTCCAAAGAATTCCATGGTTTGTATAATATATTCAGCAATAAGCATATGAGAAATTGAGTCCAAGAAATGACCTTCCCACAGTGACACTCAAAAACAGGATGCAGGAGCCCCAATTCACAGCACCTTGCTACAATCACTACATCACACTGTCTTTTCTATATAACTGTGTCCCTGTGCTCCTCATTTCATTCAACATTTGACTCAGAGAACTTGATGTTCTGTTAGAGAATGACATACTTACTGCCTGAAAGCATATTGATGTAGAAATGGCATAGATGATGCTGTCTGCATGAGGAAAATAGGGAACCTTCCCTGCTTCAATGCCTTTGAAGTAGATAGTCTATAAAAGTAAACATAAAATGCTGAGTAAAACAAAAGTAACTTTTTTGTTTCACATTTTCAAAAAACATGTCAACATTACTAACTATGATGATATGTTTTTTATATGTCCACAAATGTAATGTTGATTGAGATAGTTTACACAAGTTATCTAAGATCAATCTAATAAGAGGTTATTAATGCATAGAACAGGACTAGGAACAGCTTGGGTGTTAGAGATCCTAAAGACAAAAAAGGGAAAGTTTGCTCTATTAAATTCTTCATTTTAAAAAAGCAAAAGGATAATGCTATAACTATTCCAACAAAGTGAATATTCACTGTTCTTAAACAGCTTGAAATCACATACTTTACTTTCTGAGAAAACATGTAAAGTTTATTTTCCTGAGCACAGCTTGACCTCGCAAAGCAGCACACGCCTCTTTGGTCAGTTACCCTTGGCTTGCGTAAGATGATAAAAGTAGTTTAAAAAAAAAAAAAAGAAAAGAAACAACACACAGCACTTTCCTCATTTCATTGCAGCCACGATGTCTCAAAGTCCAGAGAAAACCATCAGCAATACAAGATAATATTGGTTTTTGACAACTGGTATTCTAAAAGTCAATATGAATAACTCAGGATTCTTTTTATATGACCAATATCTGAACTACCTTCAGAGCTTTGTCTAGGATAACAAGGAGCAGGAATAAACAGTGAATATCTTCCCTTTTTTATGTTTAATTTTATGCATAACAAAAAAAAAGTTCCTTCTATTTATGTTCTCTTAAGTGAACTGTGCTCTGGTGATGGAGGTGAAAAAATATCACTAGGGAACAAGGCCCTCAAGGTCTGCAGAAATATGTGATTCAGGATGATGCATAGTAAGAGAACATTCTCAGCTCATTCCAGTGGTGCTGTTTGGGGAATAACCATGACTAAGTCTCGATCTTATGGAAAAATCACAGTAAGAAATCAAACGCTGGTTAGCAAGTTATATTCAACACATCCAAACTCTGTAACTACTTCCTGGGTTCCTAATTTTAACAAGTTCATAGAAATAATTCAAGCCTGAAGAACAGTAATTAGAACAAAGTTCATTCCAAAGCTGGGAATTCAATCAGCTCAAGCACACTGACAAACAACTCCAGCTATAGACTAAAACCTAAGCTATTTTGAGTTATCTTAAACTGCTGAATGCCTAAATTAGGGAACAAAGGCAGGAAGTTAAGCTGTAGCTTTTGGCAATAAATCTGCAATTAAGGACTAGGTCTGATTTATGTTTCTGGCAGAACAGACATTCTTGGAACTTTCAGATTTAAAAAACATGCAAAAGCTACAAAGCAAAGGGTTATCATGAGATTAAGAAAATTCATGGAGAATATACATGGAGACCAGTGGATAATGGACTTTGAAAGGGAGTCAGAGAAAAGAATATAAGAAAGAAATGAGACCCCCTGGCAGCAGTGCCTCTTGGCACACATCAGGTACTGAAACACACCGTCACGACACAACTTTGTATTTTACTGGAATTGCCAGACAAAGCCTGTGAAGTTAATTTTCTTTTTTCTGTCTAGAAAAAATAGATGAAGACCTCTGTTACAAGGGTAATAACTTACCTCTACTAATTTGGACACCAGATACATAGAGATAGTTGTACTTTTGTAAAACATCATAGAAATTCCTGCTAGACACCCTGTAACAATTAGAAAACAAAAGCACCGTTACTTGTGTTGTTGTTGTAGCACGTCAGCCCAACACACACTGCACAGGACTATTTATTTCTGTTGCTACAACACAATTCAGTGATGTTCCTGTGCGACCCATCCAAATATGGTTCATGCCATTAAAAAGAGAAAGTTTTGAAACTCTGAAACAAATCTGTACTTCTGTGCTCACGAGCATGGTATCAAACCTCTCTCCTCTTTTTGGAATAAGAGACCTCTGAGGTTCCAGTATGTGAGAGATGCAGGGAAGGGCCTGCACCACCACACAAATTTCATTGCAAAAGGGTTCTGCTTCAGACCCAATGGAGCCCATAATTTCCAGTGTGTATTCTGTCACATATAGAAGAGTTACTATTTGCACCTCACATCTCTCACATCTCTCTCACATCTCTACAGTTGAAAATTAAAGGACATGTCTGTATTTATGCACACAGTGACATACTGCCCTTGGAGCTGACCATAAACCCCACACTATTTGATTGAATTTGCCTCACAATTTTAATTACAACCCTTTCTTTGAATCTACTTGAAACATCACTGTCACTTTGACACAATCATGATGTACACAGTTCTATTTTCAGCACAGAAGTCTGAAAAGGCAGGACACACAAGATGAGTATTTGCAGAGTCCCAATACAGGCAAAAAAACCTTCTTTTCATGGACTCACCAGCTACAAGTGCATGAAGCTCATCATCTAGGTTCCGGACCCAGCGCAGGAAGCAACTTGTGCCCTGTAGGCAAAAAGAAAACAGGATGAGCCCCATAACATTCGTAACACACAGACTGCAGATATTACTCTATAAGCCAGTAATACAGTACACAGTATGAATTAAGAGTGCTGTGTGATAAGAGCGTAGTGTGATAATACTCATAATCATAGAGTCATGGAATGGTTTGGGTTAGAAGGGACCTCAAAGATCATCTTGTTCCAACCCCCTGCCATTGGCAGGGACACCTTCACTAGATCAGGTTGTTCAGAGTCCCATCCAGCCTGGCTTTGAACAGTTCCATGGATAACGCATTCTTCTACTTGGTAAAACTGCTATAACAAAAGGGAATTTAATTTATATGGGAGACAGCAAACTTTCCCATTGTAAGAGCTTTGTAAGAGAAATGTAAAATCACAACTGTAAATCTCTTAAGAGCTGTAGCAACTTTCATTACTGGGACATGTTCTGTCTGATTCAGTAATCCTCTTTACCACATCAAGAAAACACAAGACATGAACACAACCAAAAACAATCTTTAAAAGCATTGTCGATACTAAAGTCAGAGAGTTGGATACAGTACCCAAAACATTTCAGTGTTTTAATTTACAGTTTACCACTATCATTACTTTCAAAATCAGAGAGCAGATCAATCTAATACCAAAGCTTGAATTCACATCATCTTCATTTGATGTAGTTGCCTAGACTCTTTCCCGTGACAAAGGCTGCTTTCAACTACACACCAAACCCCTTGAGATTTTTCCATACATCCAATAAATTCTGGAACCACAAAAACATATTAACCTAAAAAAATTAGAACTGCATATTGCTTCAGATTCAAAATGCCCCACGAATTTCCCTTTTTTTTGTCTGTGGTCCAATTTTTTTGAATGACTAGAATCTCTGCTGCCCTACGTGCTTATCTCAACCTGATAAAAAAAATATAATATAACCCAGATCTGTGTAAGTTATGAAATGCAATCTAACATATAGTAGAATCATAGAATCACAGGACCATTTAGCCTGCAAAGGTCATTTAAGATCATCAAGTCCAACCGTTAACTCAGCACCCACCAAGTCCACCACTAAACCATGTTCCCAAGCACCACATTCACACACCTTTTGAACACTTTTAGGGGTGGCGATTCCACCACTTCCCTGGGCAGCCTGTTCCAGTGCTTGACAACCCTTGAGATAATTTTCTACTATCCAATCTAAAATTCCCCTGAGCAACTTGAGGCCATTTCCTCTTGTCCCATCACCTGGGAGAAGAGGATGACCTCCACCTGGATACAACCTCCTTTCAGGTAGTTGTAGAATGAGAAGGTCCTCCTTGAGCCTCCTTTTCTCCAGACTAAACATCCCCAGCTTTCTCAGCCACTCCCCACAAGACTTGTGCTCCAGACCCTTCACCAGCTCTGCTGCCCTTCTCTGGACATGCTCCAGCACCTCAATGTCTTTCCTGTAGTGGTGGGTCTAAAACTGAACACAGGATTCGAAGTGTAGCTTCACCAGTGCCAGTACTTAATAAATAGTAAATAAAGGTCAGAGTAGGTCACCCTCATAAAATGAATATCTATAGGACTAAATTACAGTTAGCAAGGAGCTTATTTTAAAAACATAAAAATCTTTTCAGCTTTTCCAATTTAAGTATTTTTTTCTCTAAAGGTTCTGGTTTTAAAGTTTCCGCAAAAATTTAATTTTCAAATACACTCCAGACAGCTCATTTGCATTTTGTGATCAGAAATTTTAAAATCTGGAACCTTATAAATTCTTGGTTTTACCCTTAATAATATAGAATGATCTTAACTTTGCAGTGTGAATAAAGTGGCAGGTGAAAAACTGCAAGTGTGATTAAGAATATAAAAGTGCAAAAGCTACTTCAGCACTGCACTGTGCAATGTATTCTGCCTTAGGGCATGTGCCTTGCCATCTTCTCTTTTGGCATAAATAAACATAATTAGATTAATTCCAACAATACTATATGAATACATATCAGTTCACAATCTGTCATCTTACAATAGTGTAGAAGGGCAGACTTCCAAGCTGTAAGTGCAATGTCTCCTCACTATGCATTGTATGTTCTGCAATTTCCTGCTATTTAGTGTCAAATAAGAATTCCAGATATCTGAGCCAACAAAATCTGCAAATGGCTTCTCTCTGGCAACACTGTTGCTACTGCAGTTACTACTTGTGTCTGCACTAAAATGTTTTTTGTGTACCAGCAATTCCCTCTGAAATCTGAATGCACTTTCTCTTAAGAACTCCCAATCTCCTGATCTCAAAACAACGCTGCAAAATCCATCTGGTTTACTTGGAAATGACAGAAAAAAAAACAGGAAATGGAAGATTAGTTTTCTGTTAAGAATTTGATTATTGCAATAGTATAGAATTTGTCAGTGACATGCTGTGGCAAACAGCATCAGTACTATTAAGCGGCTGGACTTTTTAGCTCTTTGTGATATTCTGAAAAGTGAAATAAAAACCATGCCATTTATCATTTCTTACTTTGTATATACTGACGAAAGATCCCAAGAAAGCTCCAAGCTGGAAATTTTCCTTGTTGTAGAAGAGGGAAAATAGCCGTGATGGTTGTGTAAACAGATGCCGGAAGGTGGAAGGAATCCGAAGGCAACACTGGATCAGGTAACCAATGCTAAACATCCTAATGAAGCCCTAGAGAAAAGAAAGAAAGATTTTGTGGTAAGAAACCACAAATTCAGAAAAAGGAAAAGCAAAAGCATCTCCAGAAGGACTTGTTTTTGACATGGAGCAGTTTAAAACCCACTCTGCAGACAATATGTAAAAATGCATAAATGCATCCCCATTCCTCGTTCCCCTGTAAAATAGCAAAAGCAATAAAATCACAGACAATTGACTCCTCTTTAATTTCTATGAATTTCTGAAAGGCCTCAAGAGAGAAACTCTATTTCTCTTCTACTCCAAAATTCTGTACTTTGAAATAATCCTGATGACTTCATTTCCAGGTTACTGACCAGCTTTTAACCACAAATGTGTTTATAGAGGAAAGCAATGCGGTGGAAAAAAAAGAGCACTTATACGCGCAAATGTCTGGAGAAAACACCAAGGAGGAAAAAATCCACCAAAAACAAATTTCAGAAAGTGTGAGAATTAGAAATTAACCCTGGTGGCTTGGCACAGACTTTCCTTGCCTGCAGCAAGGGAAAGAGCAAACCTGGAAGGGAGTTTATGTGCAGAGCTACTGAGAAAGGATAACATGGGTTCCAGTGAATTTACTTACTACTCCACCTTGGATACAGATCTGCTTTTTCTTACCTTATCACAAAACAACACCGACTATTTCTTTCCATATTATTCTCCCTAGTTTCTCTTATAACTTCCTCCAAAACCTCCTATCATTATTCTTACCCTATGGCTGAACTTTTCTATTAATTCTGAATAAAATCTACCTAGTTTTGTGTCGGAAGATGCCTTACGTGAAAACTATCTGTGCACTCACTATTGGCAAATAAGGCAGGCACTCAACTCCAGTGACAAAGACAGAATTCCAGTGACAGGGACAATTGGCAAAGGGTTTGAGCAACCTTTTAGGCTCAGAAACACACACCATTTTTGCCTCCTGCAGAACTTTATAATACATCATAAAGCTCAAAAATTTTTATTGTGGTTAAACATCAAGTAATAAACTCTTCCTGCAGTAATTACTCTCTGTGCTACTCAATAAGTGGTTTAGGAGAATCGAGTAGAAGAAAATACATTGTGTCATCCAATAATCCAGTAGTACTTTTTTTTGAATGACAAATTTCCATTCCTTCATCTGCTACTCTTAAAGTTATGTAAATTGTACACACTGAACAGCTCACTAGCCAGTACTGTCTGATTCTTTAATGAAAATGTCTACCAAAAGGTATGTGAGACAGGCAGAGGTGTAAATGTGCTGTGAATTTCATGTAGTTTAAGTGTCACAATTAAGATGAACATTTATTTGCACCTAAAATGAAGAGGTACCCCATGGTGAAGTGCATAGCTCTCATCTTCCAAAAAAAGGGATAATTATGATGCCAGGTACCATTATACAAAAAGAAAGTCCTAAACCCAGCAGTTATGAACAAACCCCAAAACAAAACCACAAACAACAGAATGCTGTGTTTGACATTTTTACCCAGGAAAGGTGACTCTGATGGGGTGAGGAAATATCTAAATTCCAACTGAACACACTCAAACATATCCCTGATTTTATTTCTATTAGTAGCCAACTTAGAAGTGCTGAACTGAACCTCTGAGGTTTAGTGTTGATGTGCATGGAACACCAAGTATTGCACAAAATTTATCTATTTAGCTCATTACATCTACCAGGTGAAAGTATATCACACTTACTGGTGTTTGTTTCAGAGTCATATCTTATAATTAATGTACAGTATTGTAACTTTTGCCTTCCATAAGAAGACCTCAAAAAAGAATGGAGGTAGAACACAGGAAAGCATATGCAGGTCACTATAGTAAACGTAAGTGAGCAAAGAGAAGTCTGCTAAGAGCCATTTCTCCACAGAGATTTTGAGTTGGAACTCAAATCATCCAGAAGTAATAATAATAATGGCCAGTCTTCGCGAGCGAAGATCCGGGGAAGGTCTTTACACCTTCCAGCCTGCACATTGGATTTTTTAGGTGAGACACAGTGTGCGCAGAACTGAGCCCACCCTTTAATCCTAAGGTTCATCTGCCGGGGCCAAGCGAGCTTGGACGGTGGCAGCGAGGTCGTTAAGACGTAGGTGGATTGCCTTTTAAGGGTTAACGAGCTCCACCTGCCCGGGAGTGGCCCTGACCGGGAATCGAACCCGGGTCTCCGCGGTGACAGCGCCGCGCCTTTACCACTAGACCACCAGGGGCTCTCATCCAGAAGTATAGCACAGTGTAACATCATATCTCCAATATTTGCTGAATAAAACTTTTTTCTGCTTTTGAGAAACAAATTTCTTAATAATATAGTCAAGATATTGGCTATAACTCAAATTCAAAAAAGCATGTGTGCACATAAAGAGAGTTCAGTAACATATCAAAAACTCAGACAATCTGTTGAAACCCATTAGGAACTAGTTAAGGTATTTAAAATTAATGAAGGTAATTAATATTTATTCTGGGTATACAGCAGCCCATGTTCTTTCAAGAGACAGAACACTGAGACTACAATCAGCAGAAAACAATGTCAGAGAAGTTCTGGATGCCCCATCCCTGGAACTGCTCAAAGTCAGGTTGGATGGGGCTTTGAGTAACCTGGTCTAGTAGAAGATGTGGGGGTTGGAATGAGATGATTTGTAAGGTCCCTTCCAACCCAAAGCATTCCATTATTCTATGACCTTCTTTGTGGTTATTCTAGTCATTAGTAAGTTGGGAGGGTTATCTGGTCCCATCTGCAGCACAGGCAGAAAACATGGACTACTGGACTTCTACTGCTGGTTAGTGTCTCTTCACTGTAATTGAATCCAAAGGAGGAAAAATATTGTTTGACTGCTTCTGGCAGCTCTTTTTAGACATCTGCAATCCCAAAGCATTTAAAGTATTTAGAGTCTGAAGGGAAGTAAATGAAATCAGGTGGTATGTCACTACTGAACGTTACACATATAAACTATCATGGATGATGTCAACAAGCTAATGGACATTTAAATGTGAAGAAGAAGAGTACTCCTGAATATCCACTTTCTGCCCCACCCCCTTGTTCTTTCAGTTATTAATATATCTCCCCCCCTCACCTAAGAAAGGACAGAGAGAGTAGTGTGGGTCTACTATAATTTGAGAAACTCACAAACTGAAATGAAATTTGGGGCGCTAAACTAGAGTAATTCAACAAGATTAACTCCAATCTCTTTTTCACCCTTCAGTTTTAAAGCCATTTCAAGCTTATTATATTCCATAATGGTCAAATCACCTCTTTACCCATGAAGTCTCACACACACATTCTTCCAGCAGACTATACGTTTTCCACAGAGAAGAGGCATCCCTTCCATGATGAGTACTCTAACAGAAATCCTTAGTTGTTTGCTCTAACTGTGCTTGTAAAATAATAAAGTGTTATGGCAGTACTTAGAGATTTGAATGCTACGTATGCAGCAGAAGATCCATAAGGATTTTGCGTGAGATTCATAAAAAGCTCTGAAAGCAAGTCTGGACTAATCGTAGTTAAGAGCTAATTATTGTAAAACATGCCTAAGTAATGAAAGATAGCACTTTTACTATGTAAATAACTGCAGCAGACTGAAGTTATAGTGAAGTAACATGAAAAAACAGATGCACACCAGGAGATGCTACCATCAGCAGAGATCTGGACATGCAGCATATCAAATCTGCATAAAATCACTTCTGCTTAGTTTTAATCTTTATTTTGAATATAATATTCACTGCAGTCTTGGACATTGATTCTGAAGGCCAGACACTTGATATCTATGGGGAAAACAGAGTACCCTGCAGATGGAGGCACAGGAATGTTTGCTCCCCAAAGGATTCTGACCTGACCAAACATAAGCACGCAGGAGATGGGAGACAAATTGGGCCAGGAGACACTGAACAGCAAACATACTGGGCAAGGCACTGAATAAGCACAAAGCAAATGGAAAGTCTTTGTCCCCAAAGATGTTATGCCTTGAAGTAAAGAGCCCATGAATGAAACATTAAGTGGACTGAGACAGTGGTGACAAGTTGTAAAACTGTAATTTTATTCTGGGTCTGTTAAATATATCTTATACCTACAACAGAAAAGTGACATAACTATCCTGAACTATTCATGACTGTTCTGCTGAATATTTTCATCATAATTCAGCAGAACGCTTAAGCACCATCTCAAATTCTATCAACTCCAGCACAACTTATACCCATGTTACACCATGGTATGCCAACACACTGTAGTATAAAAAGAGTGTTAACACAACAAAAAATGATGTTGTTAGTAAACACACACGAATACATGTTGTGCTACATCTACTCTGATGCTAAATTTAAGCATGGTGTTTTTGAGATAAAATTAACTGTATATAAAATTTTAATTTAAAAAAGTTATTTTTGAAAGTAATATATGTCAAAAGCATCTGAAAATACTCAAATCCATTTTTGTTGCTCCTTATATAAAAAACAGGTTAACTATTAAATGACTGAGATCGTCTGCAGTCTTACCGACTCCCAAAACAGGCATAGCAGGTGGTACCACCTGTGCCAACCCAGTGTCAGCCAAGGCAAATCTCTGCACAGCGCTCCTCTGAAAAAAAATGCGCTGATCACATTAATAATGGAGGATGAATTATACCACCGGAGATAAACAGCTCTTCCTGGGCGCAGCAACTGTGACCAATCTCTCATTACCCCAACCCCTTAAAATAAATGAGTGGGGGAGTGAGCCCAGTGCCCGGCAGCGACGTGCCAGAGCCGCGCAGCTGCACGTGAAGCGGGGCCGCCTGCCACAGCAGCACATTCCAGGTGCCTTATTTAGGGGGGAGTCGCAAGTGGGCTCAGCCGTGAAGTGCATCACATAGTTAAACAAGAGCCCTGCTTACTAGTCCATTTTTTTCCCACACATTTTATGTTACTCATTCACTACAGCTAATCTGAAAGACCAGAGAACTTTAACCCCACCACCACCCCGTCCTAAATTGAGAAAATCTGTTTTCAGGCTTGTCACATTTTCAATAGAAGAAGAATGAATAACAGGCTCCTTTCTCACTTCCTAAGCATATGCCTTTCCTGACTATAGACTTTTACCCTGTCCTTGCCAGAGTTTGTGAATCGAATTTTTTCTGCACTTACTTTAATACAGTATGAGATACAATTATCTCCATAGTGTTTACAGCATCTATGCCTCGGGCCATGTTTGCACCTGCAAAAAGCATAATGAAACACGTATTAACTCATAGCTGTTTTCAGCGTCAGCGACAGGAGACTTCATAAATTTTTCTTGCCTAAAAATACATACAGTGCTATTTGCCCAGTGCTCATTCTCCCCATTACCCCACTGAAGGGTACTGTGAACTTTTATGATGCCATAAAAGGACAATAAAAACTAACAATACCTTAGTTGTATACCAAGAAAAAGGTGTCTGCACACTTATTTGGATCCAACCTCTTGGCATGCTACACATTAAAGCTAAATTAAAGGACAGATTTTCTGCTGTGGTCAACAAGGAGAAGTGACATGACCTTTCCCAGTTTGTCTCTGCTCCATGGTTCTAGAAATATATTTGACCAATCTGTTACCTGTGTCCTTACATCTTTCATACCATTGGAAGGTTCACTGAAGGGCAATGCAGAACATAGAAACACACAGAGATACCCTGTGAGACTTCTCTCAATTGCAAGCCTTTCACTTTTTGGCTCTTTCTTCTATAGTGTAGATTTTTACGTAGCTCTTCCTTTGAACTGAGAATTTGACCTTGAGCATTTAAAAGAGACTGGCTTGGGACGGTGGGATGTGTGGATTATACAGTTTCTTTAGGTCTGTATTGCATAGAATTAAAAATAGTAATGTCATACCTGGCCTGAACATAATATTTTGCTATATCCAAGTATTTTAGCTTTAATGTAAAATAAATTACACAATTTATATACTGTGTCAAATATCTTGGAAGTTCTGAATCGTGTACTATAAAGTCCAATGGCCATAAATCATCTGTGAGGTCAGTTTATGTAGCAAAAATTGTAATGAGAATGTGCTCAGGTTACAAGCATTTAGACTCAATTATATTGAAAAGAACCATATGGAAGAGAAACTTGTGAGAGCATTAGAACTAAAAACTGCAAGTTTTTTGAATGTCTGAGTTGGGAATTTCAAAGCCCTAAAGAAAATACGCTCTTCTTCACCTGTAGTCCCTCAATCCTTGTATTTAAACAAACAGTGGAAAAGCTATGAACTACCTCCAGCAAACTGAAAAAGAGGTATTTAAGACAAAATAGGCATAAGCAACTCAGCTAAAAGAACGTGCACACAGCTGGAACTGTCTCTTCCTCATCTTTTGTTGTCTAATACAGTCACGCCTGAAAAGCCACTGCTGACTTCCCTCATGTTTTTCAACTAAAACCTACAGAAAATCATAGGAAGTCACTGTATGATGGGGGTCACTTCATTTTTGTTCATCAGCTGAACAAGTACGATAAGCCACTACTCTGAGAACACAATTCCCTTGGAAGACTCTCTCCTGCATGTCAGCAGATGGAGAACCGGTTATAAAACTGTTCCTGAAGAGGTCAATGGAAGTGAAGATTCATAGGTGTGGTGTGAACACACGCGTAAGTCCATTTTTCACTCCATCTTCCCTGTAAACATATGACTCCCTGTGGTAGCTGAAAAGCTGTCTGCTGCACTTCTTTAAGCTTATAGTAAAGGACAATAAATTGGATCCTGTAGGCAGGGAGGGAACCCACATTGCCTAACTTCAGATGTCTAGATATGACCTTGTGCGAAAGTTTTAACAGTGACATCAATAAGGTCTGCTGCTGTGTAATTTCTCTCCTTAATATCACCACTAACTCCAGCAGAACCATGCCATGAACTGGTTTTGCTGAAAACTGCAGAAAAAGTAACCACCAGCCTGCATTTGGCATTGACTGAATTTACTCTCCTCCTTAAGACAACTGCACATTGCAAATCATAGCTATGACATACAGGTCTTAAGTTTTGCTTTCAATGGAGTTCATCATTTGCCACTGCTAACTACCCAGCGAAAAATGAAACAGAAAAACACTTAAATGAAAAGCAAAAGTATTATAAAGCATTATCAAATACAATGTAACGAGACATTAAAATGCACCACATAACAGTGATTCATTTTGGTTTGTTTTTCTTTTGTTTTCTTTGACTCACACTTTGTCCATGAGTTTTTTCGTTAGAGCCAGTATGTTCATTGGCTGTGACAGTTTTTCACAGTGCTTGATTTTTCTATCTATTTTTGAAAATGCTGCTTCGGGTGAAAAAGAGTGAGTGGGGATTTCTTCTTTCCCTACAATGAACCTGAAAGAAAAAGAAAAAAAAAACAAAAACAGAACAAAACAATTACCTACATAACTAAAAGAAATATATCAAGTCCTGTACAAGTCTCTAAGTCTTTAAGAAAAGCTTGAAGTTACCCCTAGGTCTGTAAAAACCCATCCTATACAGCTGCCAAACCCCACACCTCTTTGAAAAGATCAGTCCACCAACATATATTTGAACTTCAGCTAATGAACACCATTGCTGCCAGGAATTTTCTAAAACTAGGAACAAAACATTAGTAGGGAAGTCCATCTCTCAGACAAAGGAAGAACACTAAATAAGAATACAAAAAGGCACATGAAATATCTCAATTATCTCCAGTAAAATAGGGTTACATAATGATAGATAATTACTATAATATTTTTATAAAATATCTGTTTTACAAAATCTTCAAAATGTTTTTGCTCCCACTAAGAGCATCAGCTTTGTTTTACTTGGCTTCATCTTCAGCTTTCTTTCTTCACCCAGAAGTTCACGTTGTCAATACATTGGTTCATCTTAGGTGCAGAATTACTGTGTATCAAGGGCAACAGAGGACACAATGGCAAGATGTTTCCTAACACTCTGCATTGTAATTTAAGTTACACTGTACTGTGGCTTGGTCTTGTACACTGTCTTGCTGAGGGTGATGAAGGTATGAAAATTTTGTCATTCGACAGGTCACTGTGAACTGGTGATTTCAGAAAGCATTCTCTCTGCATGTTGTCACAGGAATGTTTCACACCCATATTTCTGATTATAAATTGAATAATTTACTATTGGGACCTTCTATCATATTCCATGGTTGTAAGCTCTGTAAAATATTTCCTAAACCAACAATGCAAATCTCTCTTGCAATGGCATGCTTTACTTGCATGCTGAATACAGAACTGTCGTTGATTTATTAAACATTTTGTAATGCAGCAAATAACCTCCAGGTCAAAACACAGCAGCCATTTGCTTCCAGGAAAATATAGGTTATCAAGAATCCCAGTTTTAGAAAGATAGAAGATTAATGCTCCTTTAAAAACATGCAATCATAAGACTCAGTTTTCTTTATTAACAGTCCCAAATATAAAAGGATTCTCTTGCCAGCACACAAGAGAAAATGGCCTCAAGCTGTGCCAGGAGATGTTTAAACTGGATATTAGGACAAATTTCTTCACTGAAAGGATTGTCAGGCATTGGAACAGGCTGCCCAGGAAATGGTGGAGTCACTGTCCCTGAAGATATTTAAAAGACATGTAGATGTGCCACCTGGGACATGGTTTAGTGGTGGACCTGGCAGCGTTGGGTTAATGGTTGAATTTGATGATCTTAGATGTCTTTTCCAACCTTAGTGATTCTATGAATATGTCTTCTCCAAAACATATTGCATACCCCAGAAGCTGGAAAAGTTTTATGACAGCATGTTTCTTCTTAAGAAATACTCTTTTCTTACAATGCATCTGCCACTATGAATGATACCTCAAAATCTTGACTTGAAGCTACAGGCTCGCAGAAGTTTTACTTACTTTAGTGCTGAGTATGTAAATCCTTTCAAGCCGTCTTTGCATCTGAAACATAAAACCAACAGTTTTCTCTATAATGGGCTGCCTGCATTATAAAGTCTTACAGATTAAATATTGCATAGAAGGGCTGTGGATGAACACCAGCTTTTCATTAACAGAAAACGGCACATCTGCAACAACTCTGTGGTTATTCTCAGTCCACAGTTGTCACCACAGCCTTGGGACAGCTCTGAAACAAAGGATAAAGCATCAAATGCCAGTACTTCTCTCTTTTATCCAAACTACAAGTGGAGAAATTTTTAAAGGATGGTGACAGAACCATGAGGGTGATGATGGAAGATGACAAAGAACTGTTGCTTTATGGAAAAGAAGTCATGAGGAGTTTTACAAAATATAAATTTTACTACAAGGAGAGAAAGGAGGGTTGAATCTCGATGAAATACCCACTCTCTCATGAAAAGCTGCGGGGAATAGTTATTCCGACTTTGAGATAAATTGTTCTACTTTGCAAAGTGCTGATCTCTGCAGCTCCTTATTTTAAGAAGACTCAATCTGAAAGTCCCAGTTTTTCAATTATACAGTGGTTGCTCTGATTCTGAGCTTGATTATATATATACCTCTCCTTCCTTACCGACTACAGGGTTCCTTGTGTGAATAATGATCACACTAAAGAGCCCATAATTGGTTATTAAAGACTTAGGTTATTGATTTTTTTTTCTGCCCAGGATACAATGAAAGGAGCTGAAGCTTGCAGCTGCTACAGATTCCTCCTGAAAAATTATGTTGGTAGCAAAGGAAAGAGCAGATACTTGTGCTTTTTTCCCCTTTTCTTTTTATAGAATTGCATGGGGAATACATGATGATAAAAAGACATTCCTGATACAATACACAAATAACAAACTAGTAACTTATCAATTTATCATTCCAAGTGCACACCTACTCCAAGAGAAGACAAGACAGCAGTCGCAAAAGCTTTGTAAACAGAAGCAGATAGAGACAACCCTACAGAGAACATGCTGTCCATGGAAATACTGTGTCCACACCCCCCCAAGAGAAGGTGACACCATCTCCCAGAAGGTACCACGCGTGGTCAACACGTACTACCAATGGTTGGATACACAAGAACAGCAGGAAAACCATAATGAGATAAAAGACATTCACAAATGAGGAAAGTCTTGCTTTGTCCTGGCAAGGGAGCACCTGGTGTGGAGTTGGTAAGACGTCACAGCATTAAACACTCCTGGGAAACTCTTCCCAAGGGTCTGACCTTCAGCACGTATGTTTCCAAGGACTTGGTTTTGTCAGCACGCACACAGTGCTAAGTATCAGGCACAGTTACACACAGCAACAGAAAATTAATCTCAAAGAGTTTCTCTTTTAAAATGACTGCAGATAAAATATAGGTCACATTTTTTATGATCTGTAGGGGTCCAAGGTAAACCCATACAAATAAAATTGCTCACTGTATCTTTAATTAACACAGAACTATGAAATCAAAGATATGTGATAATTTTACTTTTTATGCTTCTTTACCCATACATACAATTCAGAAGCTGAAACACTATCACAGCACTTTTACAGAAAGATGGACTCAAAGATGGATTGAAACAATTGATGAGTGATGGAGCGAAGCAAATGAAATCAGTTTTGCCCAGAGAGCACAGCAAAACACTGGCAGAACTACAAACAGAGCCCAAATGCACAGGGTTAACATCTACCCCACTATATCCACAGAACCATGGTCCGCTTTCACGAGTTTGATTTGAGATCTACAACCAACTGTAGGTTGAATGCCCTTTGAGTTAAGGGTGTCCAACATATTAGGCCTGCAAGCTGCCAGCTCAAGAACAGGGCCTTAGTTCCTACTTTTCCTGTAAATTAAAACCATATAGAAACTGGAATCTAAACATGCATGTTAAGTGTTTCTACAATAATATTGAAACAGAAAAGTAACCACAGTATGACCATAATGATGTTTTTTCCTTAATCATTCCAATGCAACTGCACTACCAGTTGCAAGTGTTCGCTGATTCCTTTACTGCACCAGCAGATGTCCCTACCCAGCTGTTCTTGAAGCGCCCTGACCGATGCTATCCTACAATTAATTTCCCTTAAACATAGCTCAAAGAAACCATCAAATCCTTTCCTCACTAATACTGAAAATCAGAAGACAATCTGACTCACCAAAAGAGAAAACAGCACTCTAACCCCCTACTTTTTTTCTCCAAGAAAAAAGATATTTCTAATGCCTATTCCAATTACATGATTTCAGTTAACTCTTAGCAATAAGTATTCAGTGTACTGGAATTTTATTAGCTATGCTTACTTTACTTATTAGTTGTTCTATATATTTATAGAGTAACAGCTATGAAAATCCCTGCAAAATGAGCCGAAATTAAATACATAGTTCAATATGGCATTAATGCTAAAGATACAATTATAATTTTTCCCCATTAACTTCTTTCTTTTTATTAATTTTAACATAGTATAAAAGTGCAATTTAAGCCCTTAAATAGAATTCAATTAATGCTCCTTGCTGCCTAAACTGTCTTCTGGAAAGTCATCGTACAAAACTAATGGGTGTGTGAAAATATTGCTTATGAAGGGTTTTATAAACAGGCGTCCTAGACAAGAAATACTTTCAATTAAAAATAATTTTCTAATGTAACTCTCCTGCTCTGGCATGGCCATTTTGCTCTTACAAATGAAACAGCAACCAACAACAAGACTGCAATTCTGATTTTTGGCTTTACATAATGACTTTTTAAGGTTTCAGAATACTAGTCTAGAGACTGAAATGGCCTTATTTATTCACTCACTAGGTACACAAAGCAGCAGCAACCATAAAAACCCTAAACACTGACTCCAAACGCAATCTGGGGTGGGGGGGAGCAGGGTGGTAACAACCCCCCATGCAGAGAGGCATCACAAATTCAGTGACTGGCCTAGACGGCGACTGCTGCAGTACAATGCTGGCTGCACATGGCACGTTTCACGAACACCTGGCTGCTAATAACTGAACTAAGACTAACGATTTGCTTCATACAGCCACTAATTGGTAATAATAATGCCACCACTAATTGGTTATAATAACTTTTGCTCAATGCTTCATTGCTCAAGGGGTGAAAAAGCCTGCACTCTGCTGCTGACCCGCATGAGCCATTCAAGCTGCAAATGAGCCCAGTACAATTCATTACATGTGCCCAGCACTGCAAACAGGAAAAATCTAAATAGTGAATCATAATCTTGTTTTTACGGTATTATTCAACTTGGAAGGTCTGAGAAAACGGGTGAGTTCTATGCCATTACAGAAACTCTGTGTAGCTCACCCTTCTACAAGGGCATGGAGTGATGGGATAATGGGGAATGGTTTTACACTGAAAGGGGGAAGGTTTAGATTAGGTGTTAGGAAAAAAATCTTCATTGTGAGGGTGGTGAGGCACTGGCACAGGTTGCCCAGAGAAGTTGTGGATGCCCCATCCCTGCAAGTGTTCAAGGCCAGGTTGGATGGGGCTTTCAGCAACCTGGTCTAGTGGAAGGTGCCTCTGCCCATGGCAGGGGGGTTGGAACTAGATGATCTTTAAGGTTCTTTCAAAACCAAACCATGTTACTATTTTATGTTTCCCACCACCCTGGATGTCCCAGGGACCAAACCCCAAGCTGCAGGAGGGCAACACTGTTTTTTGCCCAGCAAGCAATAATTTATATGGTGTATAATTTGGTTACATTTTCCCATCAGAGGGGAATTTGTCCCTGATACAAAGCCAACAGTATCAGTGACTTCTGCCAGCTGTCCCTGCTGGGCACTGTGTACCTGATCACACAGCAGAAATGCTCTGCTCTGTTCCAGCTTGTGTTTGGCCAGAGCCCTGGTTGGAGCCAAAGGAGCAGAAGAATTAAGGAGCCAAGGCAATAAATTTGGGTTCTTAAAAATTCCCCTGCTGGGACAATTCTGGCACATGAGCAAATAGGGTCGATTTTAATCATGCATATTTATAAGATAAATTTAACTTACGACCACACACATTTATTTTTTCATAAAGAAAACAGCAAAAGTGGAATAGAGCCAAGGTTTGATACAAATTATACTTCCAACAAGACATGAACTAACTCTAATTATTTACGTTTGTGTACGTAAAGAGGTGCTGGACATGAGTTTACCCTACTCTCCCTCCATCCTATGGGAAGGAGAATTTCCCACACTGAACTGTAAGGCTGGATGCCAGCAATTATGTTTTGGTTTTTTTAATTAGCATGTCTTGTCATAGCTCTTCTGAAGATTTTCTCTGTGACCTATTGATATACACTGCACAAGAAACCTTCTGAGGGAACAAGTCACTTTTCACCCATGGAATCTGTAGGAAGAAAGCAGCTCACAGGAGTAACAACATGCCATGTTTAACAACATCCCCAACATATTGCTTATGTTATCCTTCAGGGTAAGAGTAAATTAGAAACTCCTACATGCAGAGATCTCATTATGGCCACATGGGAAGGAAGTACTGCAAGCACAGGACATGTGTTGGCATATTGCCACAGCACATCTGCCTGTAAAAAGTGGTCAGGGGGACGTTTCCGAGTTAAGGTGTCTTGTTTTATGGAGAAGGGAGGATCACAGTGATGAAACGTGACTGTGTCTGGGCACACCAGCTACACTCCTTGCTATTAAATCCTTGCTTTTAGGAATTAAAAGCTATCTACACTACTTTGTGATCTGTGTTGATCTCTAGAGCATGATCCGTTGCTTAGAGAGGTTGCTTTTCAGTTAGACTCCATGATCTTAAATGATTCATTCCTCACCCTGTACCCAGTACTAATAGTCATCAGCAACAAATGTCATTTTTCTCAGACATCTTTTGCGACCATTTCCCTTCTCTTTCCATGTTCTCTTTTGCCCTTTTTTCCTTCAAGTTGAGCTCCCACCTGTCCTTTAAATGTTATTCTCAAAAGCTCATTTCTTTTTCTTACAAAATAATTCATCAATACTTTCTCCATACCTCCTCACGGTCTGACACAGCCCACCACCCTAATCAAGTGGGTTGTGG